GAACTGCTTGCTGGAGGTGCGTTATGAATGAAAGTAACACTGAATCCCTCATAAATGGAATGTGGCAATATCAAACACTTCAAATACCCCGGTGTATAGATCAGTTATACAAAAATGTAGGGCAGGAGGCATAAAGTTTGTTGTGGATGGATTTTTACAGTGGAGGCTTGTATTTGTACTAAGTCGGTCCTAAAATAGGTTCGACGTACAAAACGTTAAGAACTTGATATAATAGGTAATGACGCAGAGAAATCTAGTTGTGGTCACTGATACATTAGGTCGCTGATACACGAGGGCATCATGTGGCACAAGGCCAGTTTAACGTGGGCTCGGCCAAAAATATGCCCTTTGAACCCGTATAAACGGGTTCAGGGTCGGTTTACCTCCCCAAAAGAGAATCCGCCCTTCGGCGTAGCCTCGTTCGGGTTCCTCCCCGTCCGAAGGCTGAGAGTTCAGTCGGTCAGCCTGACTGACCCACTGAGTGACCTCCTAGTTACTCTTACTACTCCTACTTATTATAGGTGGGAGAGTCTATTAACTATAGAATAGGTGTGTTCCACTATAACAAAGTTGGAGATAAGGAAATTGAACATAGAATAGGCTGCCCTAGACACAGCTTTGCCAAACACAGCAGAGTGCTACAAATTAGATTGCCTTTAAAAAAAAAGTAATTTTATGAAAACTAATTTTATGAAAACTAATTTTAATTTTAAATTATTTTTTTTATTTTAAAAACTTTACATTTATTAACATAAGTAACAACTTATCAATAATTTAAGTTCAATAATTCAAATCATTTTTCTTCAAACGCTAATGGGAATTTTTCTTTAACAAAATAACAATTATATTCAAAAGAAAGAATTCGTCCTCAAAGACGCACGGCCTACTGGATAAAAGCATTGGTTGTAGCCAGTGAGTTGACCCTAATAGTTGTGGGGTTCAAAACCTGGCTACTGCAGTGGTGAACAAAATATCGAAGAGTTGAGTTAAAGGAAAATCACTGAAACATCCGGAAGAGTGATGGCACGTGGAACTACAACATTATACCCCGGTGGACGAAATAAATCACCTGAAGAAGAACAGAGCGTACAACGGCCGAAACGTTGTGAATATGACAATAAAGATGTCAAGTGTCCAAAAAAATTTAAATAAAAAAATTGTTATTAAAAGTAAATAATTTCATTCAAAACCTGAGTATGTTTATTTAAAACCTCGGTACTTTTATTCAAATGCTAACAACGCTTATTCAAACAATGGCAAATTTATTTAAAACATAATGACATTTATTGTCAAGATGTGAACTTTCTGAAATCGTTTCACCCAACCCCAAGCAAGAATAGAAAAAAACCCTTCTAATCAAGACGCTTTAATTTTATTAAAAAAACTAAAGAATTTATTAAAATTGGCATATTTATTTTAAATCTATTAATTATCATTCAAAATATACCCATTTATTAAAAGGTTGAGGACTTTTATTGAAAACAAAATCTTTTTTGAAAGGTATTCTGTTTCAGACATTTTTATTCAAGCCCTGAGGATATTTATTAAGAACTTATGAACTTTTATTGAAAAGGGACCTGCAGCTATTAAATTAATTATTTCATAATTAAAAATATGTGCATTTATTAAAATGAAATATCTTCACAAAAAACAGAAATATTTCTTTTTTAAATATTTCTTTTTTAACGACATAAAGAATTTCAACAAACATTATAAAACACAAGTACTTTATGCGAAACATAAGAAAATTTTAACCTTTAAAAAGTAAATAAAAGCTTTTTCTTTTTTTAACTTGTATTCCCACTCTGTAGAATCTTTTTCAAAATATATGACATCATTCAAAACTTATTCGTGCCTATCCCACACCTTTAAACATATTGCCTCTAACTGTCAAAGTTTTATGAAGAATCTTGAATTTATTAGACCAAGTGCAACAGAACATTTTGGTGAAGACTTTGTGCAATTCTAGTTGGGTGTAGATTTCGAAACTGACTGAATGTCAATACACTCTTATGCAAATTAATTGCAACAAAACGAATAATTCTGTTTTTATTATTATTATTATCATTGGTCTTTTACAATAGAACATGACCTGTTGCAGATGTTAATACTTCGTCTGTCCATTCCACGAAGTCGTTTCTGACAGATTGGTCACAGATTCTTCATTGGATTTAAATCAGGAGAGTTTCCAGGACAATCTATAGTACTTTGATTCGTTCACTGGTAAGGCTTACAATTTTCGCACGCTTCCTTGTAGTAACGTCCATCGCAGACAATAGCCGCAGTACAACAAATCGACAATCGAGACGGTAGCGTCCAGGCGTGATAAAAATTTGATGCAATCACGGATGACGCGATATTTTTCAAGGCCAAACAAATTTCATCATACACCGCGAAAATAGATTCATATTACTGCACATCACTGCAATGACCTAATCTGACGACAAATAGAAATCGATTACACCCTGTGAGTTCAGTGGGTCTAAAACTGACCGTATGTTGAAAGAAAGGAAACTAAACCGTTTTTTTTTCAATTCATTTGCGAAGTTTGTATTCAATCGTTCTCACCTGAAGACGAAATGAGGTGCAAAGTGGTATATGTCCGTACGTCTCCTCATATACAGCATTTTAAAAAAAATCTTTTTTGAATAGAATTTTATTATTGATGTAGAGTAGTTTCACAGTGGAGGCTTGTATTTCACTAAGTCGGTCCTAAAATAGGTCCGACGTACAAAACGTTAGGAACTTGATATAATTAGTAATGACGCAGAGAAATCTAGTGGTGGTCGCTGATACTCTTAGTGTCCCACATCGGCAGAGGTTGGGGAGTTGGTCAAACTCCTCGACCTCTGCTACTACTCCTACTTATTATAGGTGGGAGAATCTATTAAAAATAGAATAGGTGTGTTCCAGTATAACAATTATGTTACTTAAATTTGGAAATATTATTTTAGTTTCTTGTTTATTTTGTTTCGATTATTTTTATTTGATGCAATAAATTGATTTTTTTGTCAAACCTGAAGGCAAAACCTAGTCAGGTTGTTTCCATTTTTGTCTTTCATATGGTTAATCTAATGACAAAATAAAAAAAAAATACTATTTTGAGCATTTCTACCCTAGCAGAAACGTCTTTAGACTAATAGGGTATTTATCGAAAGTGTGATATATATATATATACAGTCCGCTCCAAAAGTATTGGAATGGCAAGACAAATTATTTTGTTTTTTGTTTTTTACTGAAGACATTGTGGTTTAAGATCAAAAGATGAATATGAGACAATATTAGGATTTCAGCTTTTATTCCATGGTATGTACATTTAGATGTGTTAAACAACTTAGGACATATTACCTTTTCTTCTTGAAGTCACTCATTTTCAAGTGAGCCAAATTATTGGTACACGAGACTGACAGGCGTTTCTTGTTGTCTTTTAGATTGATTGCTTAAACATTAAATAGCTCTGAATGATTACTATTGGTTTTCGACATGGATTTCATCATACACCGCGAAAATGGATTCATATTACTGCACATCACTGCAATGACCTAATCTGAAGACAAATAGAAATCGATTACACCCTGTGAGTTCAGTGGGTCTGAAACTGACCGTATGTTGACTACATGTAAAGACTATTTCGTGTATAAACAAAGAATTAATAATCATCAAACACAGATATACAAATTTCAATAATTTGATTTATTTGTGCATTATTATTTTAAATTGAACTTGGAGAGGGTAATTAACAGGAGATAAATGATAACTGATATCAATTAGACATGTCACGTGGAACGAGCGAAATAAAGGGTTCTGTTAGACATTCCAACATGTCACGTGGAACGAGCGAAATAAAGGGTTCGGTTAGACATTCCAACTACCTGAAGAATGCCGGAGCGTACAACGGCGGAAACTTTGCAATAAATATGGCGACAAAGACTAGGACAATAGTCCGAATAATGTAAATATTGTACATAATACCTCATCTCAGAAATATAAACAGATACTGAAAGGCCGAAACGTTGAAATAAATATGGCGACAAAAATGAGGACAATAGTCCGAATAATGTAAATAATGTACATAATACCTCATCTCAGAAATATAGACAGATACTGAATGGCCGAAACGTTGAAATAAATATGGCGACAAAGATTAGGAGAATAGTCCGAATAATGTAAACAGTGTACATAATACCTCATCTCAGAAATACAGACAGATACTGAAAGGCCGAAACGTTGAAATAAATATGGCGACAAAGATGAGGACAATAGTCCGAATAATGTAAATTGTGTACATAATACCTCATCTCAGAAATATAGACAGATACTGAAGAATGCCGGAGAGTACAACGGCCAAAACGTTGTAATAAATATGGCGACAAAGATGAGGACAATAGTCCGAATAATGTAAGTCTTGTGTTGTAAAAAGAAAATAAAAACTTCTCTATTTTGTAGCATTCATGCTAATCGTTTCCAAATAAGATTAGTTCCACTACAGCAGTCTTAATTCTAATTTATTCAAGCGTTACGGCAAAGCATTACTTATACTATGACCGCTGCGATGCGCGTTATAAAAGGAATCTCCCGCAAAAAAATGTAAAGAAAAAGAACGTATAAAGAATGTAAAGAAAATGGTGAAAGAAAACCGCCAAGAAAGAAAATTAGGGGATGAATGAAAGAAAACGATAACATTAAAACTGAAAGAGAAAGTAGAATGAAAAAGAGGAAAGTAAAAACAAATGAGAAAGAAAATTAGAATCGGAAATAAATATGAATGAGGAAATATGAAAAGAAATAAAGATGTTTGCGAAGAATATATAAGGCAACCATCGAAAACAGATCGACGATGATGGATAAGGAGATGGATAAGCAAGACAAATTTAAGACGTTTGATTTCTAGGTACCAGGAGCAGACAATTTCCTCTTCGCCGCCACACCTGGCAGCAGTCTCCCCCTTGACCTGTCAGTGTCAAACACAGATTAGCGTTGGCGACGTCGAACTGTAATCAATGACTAATTCGTCAGATTTGGCTCGGTTGGCATTACTGACAACAGCCGCCCTTTCCGCCGCAAACGCCCGCCTATCGGCCACTACGGGTCAGAGACCCTGTTTTAATCAGCTAATGCTTACAGAACAGAACAGAAGTGAATATAAACACGGGGGACATCCTGATGGCTTCGATGTTCACATTTGCCCACCTTTAAGAATGGGAATTAAGTCTTCAAAATGCGAAAGTAACCTCACGAAGGCTTATCCCGCCCGAGAGGATAGGCAGTTCACGACATATATACATATGAATAATTGATTACATGACAAAACACAGACAAAGATATATATAAAGGTGGACACTGAGATCAACACCAAACGGCGACAGCCTGTTTCATTAATGGACGTAATTTTCAGTCAATATGTGCGGCGTGTTGTCTCGGCTGTTTATATACGTTGCTCAATGATGCATTATGGGTAGTAAAGTCTATTGTATTATCATAACAGTTATTGAGTAGGCATTAATGATTATGATGCAAATTACTCTGGAGCCTATTCAACAGAAATAATTATCGATTCAAATGCGTTTGTTTATATTTTATAGTGTTGTTTCTTAACTTTTTACCCGTTACTTATTATTGATCACTTATTAAAGTGGTCCAGTGGAAAAAGACGTTGATTACATCCAAAGAGTTGTGAGTTCAATACCAGGCCACGGCAGTGGTGTGGTGAATATATATATATATATATATATATATATATATATATATATATATATATATATGGTTGGATAGATGTGAGTTTGTGACCCTGGGTTTAGTTTGTCTGACGATCGCTAAAGCGTGAAACCCAGGGTCACAAACTCACATCTATCCAACAAAATATGTTATCTCTATCTCTGATATTGAGCGCTTTCTAATAAGTACCACGCATATAATATATAAATAATTATATATATATATTTTTTATATACACTTTTCATATATATATATATATATTGTCATCCACAGACAGACTGTTTCGCTCGCTCACAGCTCTTCAGTGTGATAGGTGTCCGATTCAAGTCGGGATCGAACCCGACCGATTTGGTATGAGTCAGAGATCCTACAACTAGGTTATTGTCGCACGGCAAAGAGAAAGAGAAATTGTAACGTTTTCTATGCGAAATACGCCCGGAGATCTCAATTCACTTGAAGAGCCATGTGTAAATAGAAGTAGTGACCACTATTTCTATAAAATTAACCTTTTCTCAAGAGAGCCTTACCAGATTTCCCAAAAATGTGCGTTTGTATATATATATATATTGTCATCCACAGACAGACTTTTTCGCTCTATCAACAGCTCTTCAGTGTGGCTAGACGTCCGATTCAAGTTGGGATCGAGACCCGACCGATTTGGCATAAGTCAGATATCGTACCCCTAGACTATTTTCACACGGCAGATTGAGAAAGGAAAATTTTGACTATACGAAATACGCCACTGAGGATTGAGCTTACTACCACTTAGAAGCGCCCATTTAAAGACAAAAAGGACAACTTATCTTAGCTGACGAGTTTGGTTCTTTGATGGTCTTTATCAAAGCAACTGTAAGGATTTTATTTAATGAAAATTGTTGATCGTTCTCTTAAATTGAAACTTAAAATAAAACCCAACATTTTATAAATACTTGTTTCAAAATAAAATTTTGCATTTGCCTGATAATGTCCATCAGAGGGCGAAACGCATCGGCTAAGGTATGTTTTACTTTTTGGCATTATTCATATTGCTCTTCCACAGATATATATTTTATTAATATCAGAAATTTGACTCCCCCATATATATATATATATATATATATATATATATATATATATATATATATATATATATTTATATATTTTATATTTATATTATATATACATTTTATACATTTATATTACATATATATTTTATATATTTATATTATATATATATATATATTAGACATATATTATATATATATATATAATATATATGAAGAAATATAGTCTTAAGATGTGCTCTATTTATGGGATAAAGTGCTCAATATCAAAGATAGAGCATGTGTAAATATCAAAGTGAAAAGTCAACACTTAGAGGCTACAGTGTTTCATGCTAGATGCAATCGTCAGGTCTGACGATTACATCTAGCATGAAACAGACTGTCGTATCTAAGTGTTGTCTATGTTCACTTTTATATTTATATATATATATATATATATATATATATATATCATAAACTATTACATTGGAACATGCAATTTACCACGACAAAAATGTATATTTGATTCGATGTCTAATTAGACATCCACCTGTTGAGATGTGTAATTAGACATCGAAACAAATATACATTTTTGTCGTGGTAACTTGCATGTTCCAATGTAACAGTTTATGATAAATATTTATTTCTCTACTTTTGTATTGTGCTTTTTTCTATTAATATTATGAACGTTTGAATTTATATTCTTTTCGTTATTTTACATTTGTGTATATATATATATATATATATATATATATATATATATATATATATGACCAAGTGGGAATATTTCTTGTGACGCGTATCCTCCGTTAGGATTTCATCGAACTGTTGTTACATAAAATTATACAAAATCATATATCATTATATATATATATATATATATATATATATATATATATATATATAAAAAACATATTAAGAAAAGGAATGACAAAAGGAAGCCATTTTACAACGCATTTAATTCTGTCAGAAACACTAAGGCAAATGTAAATATTTATCACGAAAAAAATAACGTGTACACAGGAAAAAAATGTCATCGTTGTGCAAAAAAATATCGTTATACATTCCCGTTTAAATTCGAGAACATTCTAAAGTTTCAAATTTATTTTCGATTTTCGAATATCTTTCAGAAAGTTCCAAATTTAAATTGGAAGCCATACCGTACCTCAACGATAACCTTTCCTCCGTATATAAATACGTTTTCCTCAATAAAGTTATGCAATTACCTTGATGAAGGTCCTCCTGTTACGAAATGCATTACAAAAATAAGATTTTGTCTCCTATGTGCCATTTCACTATATATTGTTCATTTCAATATTCAAAAGAAAATTAGACTATTTGTTTTTCAAACGATGGGGTTACCATATTGTTATGGGACCTACCTTTATGGACTAAATGGACTCCTCCAATTTCAATATATACGGGGAGATTATGCCTTTCAAGAGAGCTGTCTACAATTGACCCGCAGTCTCTGACTGTGTACGTCTTCTGTGTACGACTTCTGTCGAACTCTCTGCTTTGGCAGAGAGGACCCCGGACGAAGCTTTGCCGAAGGGCAAAGTTTCGTCCGGGGAGGTAGACAGGCCCTGAACCCGTCTAGGCGGGTTCAAAGGGTATATTTTTGGCCGAGCCTCCGGGCTCGGAGAAACTCACGTTAAACTCGGCCTTGTGCCACATACATTCCTTGTTGGGGGAATGTTAAATATCGCTGTCTACAGTTGACCTGTTGCAGCTAAACAATCGAACTCTCTGCCTTCGAGCGGAGAGGAACCCGGACGAGGCTCCGATGAAGGGCAGAGTCTCGTTCGGGGAGGTTCACTGACCCTGAACCCGTTTATGAGTATTCAAAGAGGGATTATTTTTTGGCCGAGCCTACGGGCTTGGAGGTCCCACGTTAAACTGGCCTTGTGCCACAGGTAACCCACGTGGTGGGGTAACTAAATATCGCTGTCTACAGTTGACCTGTTACAGCTAAACAGTCGAACTATCTACCTTCGAGCGGAGAGGAACCCGGACGAGGCTCCGCCGAAGGGCAGAGTCTCGTTCGGGGAGGTTTGACTGCCCCTGAACCCATTTATGCGGGTTTAAAGAGGGATTATTTTTTGGCCGATCTTACGGGCTCGGAGATCCCACGTTAAAACGGCCTTGTACCACATGTAACCGCGTGGTTAACTAAATATCGCTGTCTACCGTTGACGAGTTGACTACTGTACTTTGCCGTCAGTCGGGCGTGCAAAACTTTTGTATTCGTTCTTTTTGTTTAATAATATGTTGTCACTAAATTGCTGAATTTGAGTTTTCTTTCGGACCTATTCTGGGTTCACAACACATATGTAGTGGTATGTTAATAAGAATGGACCATTTGTAGATGTCTGTTTATGGCTGCATTAATAACATGACCACACAATTTATATTAAACTTAAAAATACCACAAAACATGAAATACAAGAAGGAACAGAATGGTTTTAAAACATAACATTTATATTGTGTATTGATGTACGTAGAAGATATGTGGCTGTTATGTTCCTTAGCCTGTGAATATTTTTATCTGAACTCATAAAAGTTGGATTAATTATAAAGCTGAGAAATTCTGAATAAGCATTAAAGAAAAATATTTCAAAGTGAAAAGTTCTTGTTGCATGTTTGGAAATGTTCTCTCTGTTTGTAATGTAGTTTGGAAAATTTCGTATGTACTTGCATGCGTGAATATGCTTTCAACGTCTTCCCGCCCATGGTCGAGACGAGAATCCTTAAGGTCACATCTTCGCAGAAGGGAAGAGTAGAGAAGAGAAGAAGAGAAAGCAGCAAGTTTGAGTCTGCTATTTATAATTGATCTGATCCTATCACATCAATTATAAATAGCAGAATAACCTATTCTGTTATCCTATCACGTGATAAGATCACAGAAAATGGCGGGAAAACTTGACTTGGTCACGCGCTAGAAAATATTAGTACGTAGGTGGATTGCGACGCCCACTTGTGTGTTTATTGACCAATTAGAAGCTGATATTTCCTGAAAATATTTACTAAGCTGAGTAGGCTCTCTGATGCACTTTTTTGCACAAAAATGTACAAAATACAACATTGATAAGAAAGTGGTAGCGGGATGCTAAAAGTTCATCTCACTTCTTCTCTGTACCATGTACCCTTAGGACGTTGGAGATCATGGCTCTCCACAGTGTCCTGATCTTTGTAGCGCTTAATAAATTTTGTCTTCTTTATCTCCTCTAAACTTTGTTCCCCAATTCATTTAGTCAAGCTTGTTAAGTCTGTGATGCGTTTTTTTTCTCTGGCTCTCTTGCCTTCAATCTACCTTGTCAGTATCAAATTTTCTAAACCCTCTTTCCTCAGTGTATGCGCGTAAGATATTTCAACTGCCTCTTTCTGATTTTAATTATAATTGTCTTTGTTTGTTTTCTCTAAAACTTCTTCTTTATTGTACCTTGTCTCTTCATGGCACTCCGCAGTTTCCTGGTCTTTGTAGCTCTTAAAATATTTTGTCTTTTTGTTAACCTTCCTAAACTTTGTTCCGCCGTCCATTTACTAAATTTCGCTAGATAGGTTGTGCCTTGTTTTCCTCTCTCCCTGTTGTTTTCATATTTCCTTGTGAGTATCAAATATTCCAAGCCATCTTTCCTCGTTATACGTGCCGTAGAAATTTCAACTAACACTTTATTGTTTTAATTATAATTGTCCTCTTCTTCTTCTTCTATGTGCAGTGTCACTTCAAAACGAGACGATCATGGCACCTTACAGCTTCCTTGTATCTTTAAGCAACGTTTTAGTCTTTGCCATCACTCTTTCTTCCGGCGCTGTCACATATTCCGACAACACACGTTAGGTCGGTTATTTGATTTTATTCTCTTACCCAACTGCTATAAAAGAATCTAGTGAGTGTTATATTCGCTGAGCTTTCTTTCTCCATGTCCCAGAAAATAAATCTGTCACTTTCTGATTTTACTTGTATGTGTCCTGCTGGTTCCGATTTCGATTAAAATACCCTGGTTGTTCACATGTTCTGTCCATCGTTATTCACTGAATCTCTCTGTATAACCACATCTCTGTGGATTCTAAATTTTCCAGCATTCAATCCACGCCCTCTCCCTTTAGAACGTTGGCGATCATGGCTCTCCACACTGTCCTGTCCTTTGTAGATCTTAATAATTTTTTGTCTTTTTGCTATTTCTCCTGTATTTCGCTGGGTCGGTTATGCTTTGTTTTCCGTTTTGTCTTCAAACTGTCCTGTGAGTATCAAATTTTCCATGCCGTCTTTCCTCATTATGTGCCCTAGAAATTTCAACTGTCTCTTCCTGGTGTTAAGTATAAGTGTTTTCATTTTCTCTAAAACTTCGTCGTTTCTCATATGCTCGGTTTATTGTATCCTCAGCATCCTTCCGTAGCAGCACATTTCTGTTATTTTATGTCTATAAGACGTATATTCAAGCTGAAGGTATTTAAGTAACGCATATGCTTATTTTCTTTCAAGTCTGTACATTTTTATCGAGCGTGGATTTCAACTGTAAAATTATATGGCCATGCTCTTAATTTTACAGTTGAGATGGGTAGATGTAACCGTAGGTTCTTTGCTAGCGGTTTCTTCTCTTGGACTTCTCGCTTGTTGAATTCTATTCCTGCCTCTTGCTTTCAAAAATTTAAATGCAATGTTTACACTAATTATATTTGCGCTGTTGTCTTCATCTTTGTTGTTTTTAACACAACGTTTAGGCCGTTGTGCTTTCATCAAGTGGATATCGATCTGGGTAATCTACAGGGAACACTTTATTTAATCTACGGGGTTATAGTCTTCTCGTTCTACTGCTCATGCCTAGGGATATATAGTGTAATTAATGATAACTCCTCATCCCAGAAATTCAGACAAAAAATTAAATGCAATGTCAATCATTATCTTGAAAATTCAAAATGAAAATCATTTACTGACTTTAGCTTATTAGGCATTAAATTATGTCAGTTAGCATCCTCCATAATTTCCTTAGAATTCTAAATTAACCTTTTCAGTATTTATGAGCGTTTTCAAAAAATTCAAAAACTAACAATATTTTTACTTTTCTTTATGAATACCTGTTGCAAAATAAAATCCTTACATTTGCCTGGAAAAATTCCATAATAGGATTTACCTACCGTCTTTATTCACACACACACACAAATGCACACAAATGCACACACACACACACACACACACACACACACACACACATATATATATATATATATATATATATATATATATATATATATATATATATATGAGTGTGTGTGTGTGTGCATATATATATGAATTAATTGATTTAATATATGTTTTTTCGCTACACAGTTCTAAACATGTTTCAAAAATGGAAGCTAAAAGCTCCGAATTTAATGTCTTTAATTTAATTACAAAATCAAATTCGGAGCTTTTAGCTTCCAGTTTTTAAACATGGTTAAAACTGTGTAGCGAAAAAAAAAACATATTTTAAATCAATTAATTTATAATATTAATGCTCTGTAAATTTACATTGAGCACTATTTTGTAAAAATAAAAATATCTATAAGAACACCATATCTTACTGTTTCTTTCATTTCGTTGTTGGAATTGTTACCTGATGAACGGAGTCCTTCAAAAAGGATTTTGGTGAAATAAATTATTGTAATGGTACCTTAAAGTGGTCTGTTTTTTCATAAAAAAATATATATATATATATATATATATATATATATATATATATATATATATATATATATATATAAAGGGAAGAGGGAAGATGTTATAGTCGTTCCAACGAGACAAAACTGTGTATATTAAAAAGAAGAGAGAAACCGCAAATGTTTTTGGTTGTAATCCGGATTACTTTTGTTTTTGTCAGCATGCGTATGTATATGTATATTCCCTCTCCATACAGTTCTGAAGTAGAGTGTGGAATTGGTTAATATCACCCCATGAGGATTTCCAGAAAATGAAGCAAATATATGGGGGTAATATAAAAACCGAAATCACTAAATCTTGGAAACGAATTGGGTTTTTATATTACCCCCATATATTTGTTCTATCCTTTCATAGAGGTTTTCTTCTAGGCCTATGTTGGTGCCATTTTTTGTTCCCATTTACAAATGTGTACAAATGTCATTACTAATTCTTCGTAATAAGACAGTGTGTATGTACGGAGGGGGAATATACATATACGGAGGCATGCTGACAAAAACACAAGAAAATGGAATAGATCTAAAAATAGACAGGTGTCATTAAAAGATAAGAATGCCGATAATTCCTTCACCATTTCTCGGACCAAGCTTAATTGTTTTATAACCCTTCACGCAAAATGTTTCACTGCCAATTCAGAAAGACATTTGGGTCACTAACACACAAAAAAGGGAATGTCTTATATCGAGAATATTTAACATCGAAAAACATAAGAAAAACATTAATTATTTTTTAATAATATGTGGAAATCTCCACGCTATGCTTGATGAAGATCGCGAGACCGGAAACCCGTGTAGCAGAATTATGGCAAATAAATCATAATATTATTTTTAAAAATCCATATTACAAACCAAAAACGTTAGTGGTTTTTCTCTTTATTTTAATATATATATATATATATATATATATATATATATATATATATATATATATATATATATGAATAACGTCTTTAATTTGTAACTGTATTTACAAACAAAACTAAAAATGTTAGTTTTGCAATTTTTTTGAATATATATATATATATATATATATATATATATATATATATATATATATATATATATATTGGTGTAAAATTTAATGCACGTCAAGTCCAGCATGATTCAAGGAGGTGGAGAGAATATATGTACGAAATTTAACGTATCAGAATTGCTCGAAATTGAAGTTGAATCTAGAGTCACACAATCTTTTACAATTGCGACTACACACACACACACAATATATATATATATATATATATATATATATATATATATATATATATATATATATATATATATCACAACAACATCTGTTAATATTTCTCTATCCCTAGTGTACGAACAAACATGGTTCCATTATTGGAGCTTTTTCTCGGGGTATTTTGTAGGTATTAAATAAACAGACGTGAACGCAGATACAAAATAGCGGATTATACCAACTTGGAGAAAGGTTTGGATTATTGGGCCCCGGGGACATAAGAATACGTAGGTTTTCTTTGCATTTTACCAATTTTTCAATAAATTATGTCCCTTCCAGTGAAACCAACACTTTGATCAATAACAGTCTCTTTCTTCCCAAATATCTTTCTTTCTTTCTTTTTACTTCTCATCGTCACTTCTTCCTTTCCTTTCATAGTTGTTTCTTTAATTCTTTTTTTCTAACAATTATTTATCTTTCGTTCATTCTTTCTTTCTCTCTTTGTTCTTATCATAATTTCATCCTTTTTTTTTTCATAGATGCTTCTTTAATTCTTCCTAACAATCTTTCTTTCTTTTTCTTTCTTTCTTTCTTTCTTTCTTTCTTTCTTTCTTTTTTTTTTTCTTTCTTTTTCTTTCTTTCTTTGTTCGTGTTCGTTATTTCTTCATTATTTTCATGTTTCTTTAATTCTTTCTTCCTGGCAATCTTTCTTTCTTTTTTTACTTTCTTACTTTCTTTTTCTTTCTTTCTTTCTTTCTTTCTTTCTTTCTTTCTTTCTTTTTTTCTTCCTTTCTTTTCATAGTTGTGCCATACATTTCACAAAATTTTCTTTATTTGCTATTTCTTCCCAAAGTTAATCTTATCGTTTTTTTTTCAATTTTCCATCCTCTAATTGTTTTCTTTTCTGTTTTCATTATTTTTCACTAGCGTCTTTCTTATCATTTTTCTTTGATTCATTCGTTTGTCTTTCATTCATTCATTCTTTATTTATTTCCAATCCTATTTCTTTCCTTACAATATTTATCAAATGTTGTCTTTATCTTTTCATTTTTCTCTCTCTCTACCACCTTGCTTTCTTATTTTATCCTCAGTATATTAATATAACACACACACACAAACACACACACACACACACACACACACACACATATATATATATATATATATATATATATATATATATATATATATATATGACGTCATACATTATGAAATGGACAAAGTTGTACATTCAGGCCGGTAAATGTTGTTTAATACTGTTTATTATAAAAACGAGCATTTACTTAAATATTTGTGTCTATAAATGTCTTTATATATATATATATATATATATATATATATATATATATATATATATATATATATATATATATATATATATGATCGTCTGTGTGGAGATATATATTTGCAAAACTTTACATTTACAAATATTGTATTCTCGATATATACCAAACTTTTCACAGGTATAATATATATATATATATATATATATATATATATATATATATATATATATATATATATTGAACAAATCACCCAAAGTCGGGAGTACCACTAGTCCGCAAGAGGTTACAAAGAATGAGAGTAAGATAAAAGAAGTATGTTTAGGAAATGGATAAAGAGAAGGACAAGGATCAAGGTCAAGACATCAGAAGATGTCGATTGACATTACATATCTGAAGATAGCTATCATTTAAGCAAGTGATAGGAGAGGAGTGCCACGGAAATGCGAAATAAGAATCTGTTGGAGTAGAAGAGACGGCTACATTTAGCCGTTTCGACAATGAAAGTGTGGGACCAAAATGCCAACCTAGTAGCTCCCTTAAATTCATGCAGTTTGGGAACAAGTGAAAGTAGCTCGTCGGAGCCGTCGCCAAGAAAGTACTTGTAGAAAAGACAGAGGAAAGCCACAGAACGTCTGCGAGATAGCGACTGCAGATGGGATGCCAGATCAGGACCAACCACGTTGCATATCCGTCTTTTCATTCTGTCTAGGACCTCGAGATAAATAGCGGGAGCAACAGACTATATATGGCAGCACTATCCCATGCAAGGACGAATGGTTGATTTATAGATTTGATGGACTCAGGCGCGAAAAACCTTCTGGCGCGACACAGCGAACCAACTTTCCTTGCGGTAGATGAAACTATAGATTCAATGGAGTTGTTCCATTTTAGGTCTGTGGTTAGCATGCGACCAAGCCGGCGCAGAGGGGGGCTCTTGCTGAGTTGAATATCAGCCATACACCATGAGGGAGATAGAAGAACACATCACATCCTCTGAAGAAAAGGATCGGACGTTCGAAAAAAAAAATCTGGGAAAAAAAACATACCCTCGATTGGGTCGACGATTGAGAGAGTTCAGAAGTTAATGAAGTGTTACTTTTCGCATGAAAAAAAATCAGTCTCGTATTCTTCTCGGGCGTTACTAACAGAACATAACACGAGAGAAATAATCAAACGTAAGGGAGAAAACTGAGCAGATTTAGTGGAACCGGATACATCAGGCATTCGAAAATAGGACCTAAATCGGAAAATAGAATATATCCCTAGGCACCAAATCGTTTGTAGTTGAATAATGAAAAAGTGTGTTTTTAATTGCTTTTAAACATAATCTCTTTCTTTATAGTCCGGAAAATATGCATTGAAAGTTCTAGAAATTTTATCGAAAATTCTAGAAATTTCGACAAAAATTCTAGAAATTCCGACAAAAATTCAAGAAATTTTCGACAAAAATTCTAGAAATTTTAGAAGAAAATTCAGATAATAAATCTGATATCAAACACCAGCTTAGGCAAAAATTTAGAGGGCATTTTTAAAGAACCGAAGTACTGAGTTATCAGAGAATATAAATTAGGCTTTGAATTGAAAAATAGCATAATATAATACTGGGTATTAATAATTTTTTTTTTTTTTGTCGCCTAACAATGAAAAATTGTTTTTTTCTTAAATTACTTTTAAACATAACTTGTTTCTTTATAGTCCGGAAAGTAATCAGTGAAAACTTTAAATAAAAAAATCAGTTAATACGTTGATTGCCAGAGATCCATTACGAAATCCTATTTAAAACTCCAACTGAAGAAATAAAAAAACTGTGTTGATTTAAAGCTTCAATTAAAGTCTTAATATTGTTTCCAAACTAAGCGTCTCATTAAGAATAAACTCGTTGTTGGTGACCACATATGAAAAATTTGTTACAAATTCATGACGGTCATTTTCGAGTATAGAATCCAGAGGTTAGCAGTGAATATTTCGCAGACAGTAGGAAAGCGTACTTCAGGTTCGCAGTGGATATCGCAGCAAAGTAGCAGAGCGTAGTTCTTCCTTATTCATCTTCGCCTGACAAGTTGGCACTGGTCATTCCGGTAGGAAAAACAAAAATGGTCGCCTTTATACACGACGGATACAATGTTCTGGGGCTTCTGATTGGTTAATCTTCTATTGGTAGACTATAAAGTGAGTCAGGGTATTTTGATTGGCTCACTAGTTGCATAGTATATACACAAAAAACTGTAACAAAATTATCAGAACATGTCAAAGACGTGATAACACGTAGTCGGGACGAGGAAACTCGTAGACGGAGTGATAAGAAAAACTATTAACCACGAAATAATTTGTGGTGGGCAATGAATGCGTTAATACTTGTGTTAGGCTGTAAACTTATTCATCCACTATCGTAGATATCATCAGACAATACTTTACATTAATTTGCTAAAATATTATCATATAGAAAGAAAATGATTAACTACTGAGACTGAGGTTCGAGCGTGACTCTGGATTTATGGATACATGTTTTCCGCCAGCTGTATATAATAGCGCTATCAGGCTACTGACTGCAGTGATTATTGATACCGAAGTTCAAGCGTGACACTTAGACTTATGAATATATGTTTTCTGCCAGGTGTAGTATAAATAGTGGTGTCAGGCTACTGATTGCAGTGATTATTGAGTGACTATTGAGTGGAAATATCCAGTCGAATTAGTGTGAATTATTGTGCGTCAATGATTTGAGTTTTGAGTTAGAATTTACTTGATGTTAAGACGAGCCGCGCTACTAACAAGGTACTCATTGACATGACTAATTATCTTTGGTTGACTTTTACCTCTTTGTTCTTGGTTAATATTTATTTGTGGTTGTAATTAAATATTATTTTATCTTAACATTAAAGTTTGAGTTATATTTAATTAATTATAGTCACCGTACGTCACAAAACTTAAGTAGATAGGTAGATAGAGAAAGAGAGAGAGAGAGAAAAGAGAGAGAAAAAGAGAAAGAGAGATATGTGAAGAGACGTTAGTGTCATATAGAAAGAAAATGAGTAAATACGGTCATCGAGGTTCGAGCGTGACACTCTAGACTTATGAATATACGTTTTCCCCCGGATGTATAAATAGCGGTGTCAGGCTACTGACTGCAGTGATTATTGAGTGAAACTATCTAGTCGAATTAGTGTGAATTATACTGCGTCGATGTTTGGATTTTGATTCGGATTTACAGGACGTTAACCCGAGCCTCGTTACTGCCAAGGTATTCAGTGAAATGGTTATCTTTGCCTGATTTTTACTTGTTTGTTCTTGTTAAGTATTTATTTGTGGTTGTAATTAAATACTGTTTTATCTTAACATTGAAGTCTTGAGTTATACTTAATTAACATCACAAAAATATGTTCTAGGCCTATTCAAGTTAATAATATTTATACGAATTTTCAAAGATTTAAAATGCTGTAGAACCATAGACTGAACATATGAGCAACGATGAAGTTGTAGAGAACATGCAAGTAAAATATTATACGTGTCTTCAACATAAGGAAGAAAGAGTAAGGAACAAAGAATTATGTTGTATCCTACTATATGACAGTGAAAGCTGGACGATATCCTCACAGATAAAGAAGACACATAAGGTAACAGAAATTTAGTTATACAGAAGGCTACTGAGAATGTTATGGGCCGAATGCAATGAGGAAGTTTTAGAGAAAAGGAAAACAAAATGGAAACTTATCCTTACAATCAGGAAGTGACAGTTTAAATTTCTCTGGCACATAAAGAGGAAAAGGTGCTGGGAAGTTTCAAAACTCAGAAGACATATTACAGGCCAGGAGAACATAGAGAATCATAGCCTAATCTACCTTCTGTGATTGTGCAAAGACAGAACAGGGTTTAGGGGATATACCTAAAAGACAATTTTTCTAAGAGCTACAGATAGGAAATTGTGGAAAGCCATGACCACCTGAGGAGACGTGGAACATGGAAAAAGGAGCCATGAAAGACACCTCTTCCATCTAAAATTAGCTTTTGGTAAGTGAATCCGACGAAGAATGTTTTATCCCTGTATTTTTTATTCAGTCGTGTTGATTGTATTTCCTACTCTTTACGTTTTTAATACCCCATATTTTATCCGTCAGTCCGTCATGGTTGGAATATATCATTTTGCTTTCTTGGCTAATCAGACATGATTCAATTCGGAAAATTAAACATCTCGAACGATCAGAGCGAATGCATTTCAGAATAAAAAAGAGATATTCTTTAAACGAATAAGAAGATAGAATGGCCACTAAAAGCAACGAACGCACTGAGACATAGAAGAAAATTCCGACAATTTAATGGGAGATGCTAAAGTCAATTATAGATGGAAGGTCTCCTTTGACAGAAAAAGAACCTTGATAAGATCCCATATGTTAAAAACAAAGAGTTTTTATTTAGATTTTAGATTTTGACTGGCGGCATTTCATGTTTTTCTTCATTTTTAAGACGATTTTCAAGAGGAGGCCAATAGCAGAGGTCGTCTCGTTTTAATGGAAACTTG